ATCTGTGTCAGCTAAACAGCAGAGTTCAAAAGCTCAAGTTCAGGATGCTTACACTCAAACAGATCGTGTCACAGATTCAGTCCGAGGACTGGTTTGTCACAATAGACTTAAAGGACGCTTATTTTTTTACATATCCATCCATCCTCATCACAGGAGGTTCCTGAGGTTTGCTTGCGGGGGCGAAGCTTACCAGTATCGGGTCCTTCCGTTCAGCCTAGGTCTATCACCCCGTACTTTTACGAAATGCGTGGATGCAGCACTGGCTCCTTTCAGATCCCAGGGCATTCGCGTATTAAATTATATCGACGATTGGTTGATCCTAGCTCAGTCAGAGCAGTTGGCGGTTCAACATCGAGATGTTGTTCTGTCACACATGAAAAGGTTGGGGTTACGGCTAAATACCAAGAAAAGTGTGCTCCTTCCAGCACAGAGGACCACTTATCTGGAGGTAGTGTGGGATTCAACAATGATGCAAGTAAGATTGTCTTCAGCACGTATAACTGCGATCCTTACAGCCATAAAGAATGTGAAATTAGGCCGGTCACTCACTGTGAAACAATTTCAGAAACTGTTGGGGCTCATAGCAGCGGCGTCCAACGTGATTACTTTTGGCCTTCTGTACATGAGACCCTTGCAGTGGTGTCTCAGAACCAAGGGGTTTTCTCCGAGGGGAAATCCGTTTCGTATGATCAAGGTCACGCGGCAATGCTTACGGGCCTTGGTCATGTGGAAGAAACCTTGGTTCCTCGCCCAGGGCCCAGTTTTGGGGGTTCCTTGTCGACGCGTCACGTTATCGACGGATGCTTCCCTGACAGGCTGGGGGGCGGTCATGAGTGGTCGCTCGGCGACAGGTCTATGGCAGGACCATCAGCAGTCTTGGCATATAAACCGACTAGAAATGATGGCAGTATTTCGGGCTCTCAAATACTTCTTGCCAGACCTGAGGGGCCATCATGTGCTTGTCCGCACGGACAACACTACGGTGGTCTCCTACATCAACCATCAGGGGGGTCTGAGGTCCAGAGCTTTATACAAGTTGGCTCTGCAGATCCTCCTATGGACCCAGGGGAAATTGTTGTCACTGAGGGCAATATATATTCCAGGGTATCTGAATGTGGGGGCCGATATTCTGTCGAGGCGGGGGCTGAGGCCTGGGGAGTGGAGACTCCACCCCGAGGTGGTGGAGGTCCTATGGGAGAACTTTGGTCAGGCTCAGGTCGATCTATTTGCAACTCAGGAGACTACTCACTGTCGGTTTTGGTTTTCTCTCACGCAGTCAGCTCCTCTCGGACTGGATGCGATGGTGCAGGTGTGGCCGAGGCTACACCTGTATGCATTTCCCCCGATATCAATGCTCCCAGGAGTTCTGCAAAGAGTTCGCCAGGAAGGGGCTCATCTGTTGTTAGTAGCCCCGCACTGGCCGACCAGAATATGGTTTGCGGACCTAGTGTCCCTCTTGGACGGCTCTCCGATGGAGATTCCGGTCAGGAGGGACCTGCTTTCACAGGCGGGGGGCACAATATTTCACCCTTGACCCGAGTTGTGGAAACTATGGACTTGGCCTCTGAGGGGGCCCAGTTCATAAATGCTGGTCTCTCGACTGAGGTCGTGGAGACCATTCTTCAATCCAGAGCTCCCTCCACGAGAAAACTTTATTATTTCAAATGGAAATTGTTCTCTACATGGTGCAGAGAACGTGCTTTTAATCCTGTTGACTGCCCGGTTGGTACAGTTCTCGATTTCCTGCAAGACTGTTTCTCTGCTGGATTAACTCCCTCCACCTTGAAGGTGTATGTTGCGGCTATATCTGCCTTTTGATCCCCTGCGGGGGCTTCTTCTCTGGGGAGAGATCCTCTAATAACGATCGTTTTCTCCGTGGAACATTGAGGCTGAGGCCTGCCTTGCACTCCAGAGCACCGGCTTGGGACCTGGCCATTGTACTCGAGGGTCTGGCTTTGGCTCCCTTCGAGCCCATCGAAGAGATTTCAGAGAAATTCCTCACTTTAAAAGCTTTGTTTCTTCTCGCTATTTCTTCTATTAAGAGAATTGGAGATCTGCAAGCTCTTTCGGTTGCTCCTTCATGTTTGGAATTCGCACCTATGGTTAAAGCATTTCTATACCCTAGGACGGGTTATATTCCTAAGGTCCCTACTAATGTGATGGGTCCTATTGTGCTGCATGCCTTCTGTCCTCCACCCTTCAATACCCCAGATCAGGAAAGTCTCAATCTGTTATGTCCAGTTCGGGCATTGGATGCCTACGTTCACAGAGCTGCCCTGTGGCGTAAGTCAGAGCAATTATTTGTCTGCTTTGGTTCGAATAAGAAAGGTTGCCCGGCATCGAGACAAGTAATGAGCAAGTGGATAGTTGAGGCTATCTCCATTGCTTATAATGCGGTTGGACGTCCCTCACCTATGGAGGTCCGCGCCCATTCTACAAGGAGTATGGCTGCCTCTAAGGCTTTAATTTCGGGTGTTTCCCTTCACAGGCTGATCTCATGAAGTAGCATGTGTATGACACGCCAATTCGTATTTCCATTTTTGGCGTGCTATCAAGACGCATAATCGCCTTTCAGCGTGTTTATGAACGCCGTTGACTTAACGTTATATAAATATATAACTTACCTCAACCCCGTCCCTAAACCTAACCGTCACTGGGGTTAATAGCATTTATGACTGTTCCCTTACCATCCTAGGTAAAAAATAGATATGACTTACCTCAACCCCATCCCTAAACTTAACCGTCACTGGGGTTAATGGCATTATGACTGGAGATTTGACTGCGTGTACGGACACGCGGAATGACGCGGACGTTAATGGCGTAGACATATACGCATACACGCGGATAGCTCAAAATGCGTAGAGATAACACGCCACCTGACTCGAAAGTGGCGTATATGTTTACGCAAAAGTCATGATGTCATGTTGCCCTTCATGACATTTGTAATGCGGCAGGGTGGTCCTCACCGCATACATTTGTCAGGTTTTATGACCTAGACCTCTCCACTCCCGGGGCTAGGCTGCTTGCTTCTTAGTGTGCGCATTTGACTTCACACAGAACGGGCATTTCTTTAATGGTATAGTGGGTATGGGGTTCCCATCGCGTTTGACAACGCAGCTCGAAGTTCCCTTGAAAGGGAACGTCTCAGGTTACGTATGTAACCCTGGTTCCCTGAGAGGGAACGAGAGCTGCGTTCGCCTGCCATACTTCCTGCATGCCCTGATCGACTTGCTTCAGGCCTTTTACAGAATTGTCGCGGTCTGATCTCAAGGGTGCTTTATAGTTTCCTGGTCAATGACGTCACCTGACGTCCTACTCTCTCATTGGACTGATTGTACAGACGCTTCACGATGTAATCATCGCGTTTGACAATGCAGCTCTCGTTCCCTCTCAGGGAACCAGGGTTACATACGTAACCTGAGACGTTAGTTTAGTTTAGTTTAGTTTAGTTTAGTTTAGTCTGGAGCCCAGGGTAAATGAAACATATCCTCGCTTCATCTGTCTTTTGGGGATGTTTTCAAACTTTTTATTGAGAAGAGGTGCAGGTATGAGTTTTGAATATTGAATTATTGCTGGTTCTCGCTTCTTCAGCTGAAAAGTCAACCACAGCATCTCTGTATTAATATTTTAAATGGCCTTCAAATTTTGATTACCACCCGCTTATGTCCCGGCATCAATGATTCATTAACAGCAATGCTACAGTGTGCTGTCTTCCTGCCACACACAAACACTCACAATGACACATATACACAGCGTACAGGCATGGCTGTTATGCTGTATATTTAAACCAACAACATGGCAAAGAATATTAAAATTCAAGAAGTCTTATGATAACAAGATGACGTGTTGCAGTTTTCAGTACATCTGTCTGTACACTTTCGCAATCTTTTTTATAAATCTCGAAACTTGAGTCTTCAGCTTGTTCCAGGTTCAGCATCGACTAGATAGAATATCTTATAAATTAACTGTGACATTTCAGTCTCACTATAGCGAGAAAAGCTGATGCTGTTTTCATTTTGGCTGCTTTTGTGATGTTATTAATTATCTCAGCGTTTAATTCGTGGACACACTGTTTACTTTGTGTGCATTTTTTTTTTACACTCACTACAATCTATCATTTCTGATACACTACTATTTTTTTCTCCTTGAAGCAACTTTAGAAATAAAACAAATGTTTGCAAATTAATGCATATGAGAAGGTTTGTGGGGGTTAGAAGCTGAAATTCTCATAGTTTGTATTGTTTATCTGAACTGTGCTTTACTTTTATTCCTTCACAATCTTAATAGATTAGATCTTCAGATATAATTTAACTCTTGTGCATCTGATGACTTTCCATATCCCCATAATGTCTAATATTTTATTCTCAGACACTACACAACAATTTCCACCCCAGTATTTTTTTCAATAAAATATCTATAAATAAAAATATTGGATAGTAAGACTTAATAATTATTAGTTATAATAAAAAATGTTCTTATCCAATTGGCAAGGTATGTTTTCCCCTTCTATCAATCTCACTACATTTAGCTTTAAACAAGAAAAAAATGCCAGTTGGATAAGAAGAATAAGCACAAACGTATAGGGCTAATACATTATTTAAATTTTCAATACTGCAGGTGCATCATAAGAAGAATATTGCATACGTTTTTGTGCGTGTGTGCGTGTGTGTGCATACAGTACGTGCGTGCTCATGTGTGCATTTGTGACCTTTAGTACTGTTATAGGAAACTACTCAACACAGGATATTTATCACAGTTCTCTAGGGACTGACGTTGCACACGTTCATGCACAAAATTCAAATTATTCATATATTTATTTACCCCAATCTTGTGGATCAGCATCTTATAAATGTAGGATAATGGTGGTTTCTGTATTTCAAAAAGCAGTTATATTGAAATCAATTCAGCTCAGCTGTATCATAAACATCATGTTTATCAAAAACATGATGTAAAGTGTCAATTCTATGTGATTTTTTTTTATGCCTTTTTTCTTGTTTTAGTGTACAGTATGGGACTGGGATTCTAATGGCAAACATGACTTCATAGGAGAATTTCAAACCACCTTCAAGGAGATGAAGTCAGCCATGGATGGGAAGCAGGTAGCTATAATAAACATGCACACACACAGTCACATAACAATCCTTCTTCCAAAAATTTCTGATCAACATAATAGTTCAATTATTCAACCCAATACAATTAATTGTTCAACATGTACAAATAACATGACTTTTTCATATGTTTCATAGAATTATTTAGAATTATGCCTGTTTATAGGAGTATCCCCATTGCATTAGCAAGGAAACACTAGGATTCAAGACACTTAGAGGGAGGAGGGGGGTGGGGGGCATGGATATAATAACATTTTTAAAGCACTGAATATACCCTGAAGAACATGAAACTGTATAAGAGAAAGAACATTCTTCATAACTCCAGCTTATGGATATGTGCAAAGAAAAAAACCTTCATTAATAAAAACTTATATCACATCAAGACTGGAGCTTGTCTATGGGCATGTGAAAGGCTTTAGAGATTCAAAGAACCAGACCAGATTCTGGGGTCTGATGAAGCCTAAATTGAACATTTGAGCCTCAATTCTAAGCACCCTTGAACACAGTAGCAACTGCTTATCTAAAAGCCTTAGCAAAACATTGACAACCACTTCTAATACCCTCTGAACACCTTAACAACCACATAGCAACACTCTGGCAACCAGTGAAAACTTAGCAAGTGTAAAGCAATGGACTAACATCTACTCTGAACACCATAGCAACACTCTAGCAACCAATCAGAACACACTAGCAACATTTAGTATCACTGTAATGATCCTGGATGTTAGGTTGGTTATTGTGCACAAGAGCATAATCTATTTAAGTCCACATGCCATTTAACAAGAAACTGTGCTTCTAACCACAGCTTGAGAGTGTGTACAGTTCCAACCACGTAAGTTTGCAATCCTGTTTGCAAATATTCGTTGGAACTATGATTTCAGGAAACGCCAGATTGTTGAACTATGTAACAGTGGAACCTGCGACCATATGCTTTTGGGAAACACCCCCAGAACAACTTAGCAACTGCATAGCAGTGGGCTAACAGAAACACACTGGCAACCAACCATAACACCCTAGTAACTGCATAGCAACAGACAACATCTTAGCAACACCCTGGCATGACAGCAAGCTTTGCACAGGCAAGCACCACTCACATTTGTTTGACATTTTTTTTTTTTTTGAGAAAAAAAAAAATGTTTTTGTTTTCAATTAGAATATTTAAGCAAAATATCAGTTTCCCCCTGTTTGACTCAACCTTGGTGAGCATAAGAGACTTCTTTCAAAAGTTTTTCTTTTTTATGTTTTTAGACATTTTAACAGATACTATATAGGCTTTATAATTAAATACAACCACCATAACTAGTGGAGTCAATCCAATATAGCACCACCTGATATAAAACACACACACACGCTTACTCTGCTCCATCGCTTCACTTATTTGAAATCTATTACCGGCTGTGCTGATTAGTAGTTAATGTGTGGCTTTAAATTCCATTAACTTCATATTCACAGTCATCTCCTTGAATGCTCAGAGGAGCAAAGTCGACAGGCTTCAAAATACGGTTCTTGTTGCATTTGTTAATCAGTGGAATACCTCTTCCGCCAGTGTGCTGATTGCACTGCTAGCGGGGTTCACAAACAGGTGCTTCGTTTACAGCGTTTAAAGCTCTGATACTTTCAGGGGTGAAAGAAAACGTCTCGCATGCTCTTCAGTGAGAAGACCTGATTTGAGATGTTTAGAACAGGCTGAGATAATTGTGCTTGGATCGACCATTTTAAATAACTCATGGATTTGAGAGAGAGATCTTTGGATTGTTTGTTTCTCTGAGCTATTGTATTCACACTAGAAATGTCAATTAAATGAAGTTTGGCTGGGATAGAAATATCTCTCTTTTTTGTCCTGTCAGGCATCATCACAAGAGAAACTACCAACTGATCTTGGCCAAAAGGTGACTTATTAACACCGACATGCTTGTGAAAGTCTTGCCAGCACTGCTAGCTTACAGCCAATCACTCTCATATTTTCTGAAAGCTCAACTGCAGGCACTATGTTATACATCTGTTATACATCTGCTATACAATCTGTCAATTTGTCTCTCAGGCTTTGGGTATCTTCCTCTCATACAGATATATCACAAACTTCAGATGGAGTTCACTGCAGAGATGAATGAGTTGAATGAGTGGCATAGTGCTGTAGTGTTGTTTTACTTTAACATGTTTCTGACAGATCCAGTGGGAGTGTATTAATCCTAAGTATCAAGTGAAGAAGAAGAACTACAGAAATTCTGGAATGGTAATTCTTACCCTTTGCAAGGTGAGTAATTTTCACACTCTTTTTCTAGCAGTAGGCCTAAATAAATAAACAAATAAAGGATTTTAGATCTGGGTTAAATAGGAAGTTTAAATCCATCCCTCTGTACCACCATTATGACTGTCCTTGTAATTGTAACTGTAAGTAATTTTGGGTAGAAAATATGCTGTTTTTTTTTTACCATTTTTATTATAATATCTGGTCCATTCAATTGGTTGTAAATGCTTTGTACTGTATTTTGATCTGTGTTGAACACATTGCATAGATCAAATACCACAAAGGTTTTTTCATTACCATTTTCGTTTTTATTTAGCAATTGTCACAGTCTTTCGTCTGCACCAGTCTGTCTTGTCATCAGCACTACATTTCCCAGGATCCTCTTGTCTCCACTCCTGAACTCACTCCTTCATCAGCCACCTGTTCCTCGTCTTGATCATCTGTGTCGCCTGTTTTCACATCGTTATGTCTGATTCCTGCTTGTATTTAGTTCTCTCTGTTCATTCAGTTATTGTCGGTCAATGTGAATGTTACACTGTGTTTGCGCCCGTCTACCTGTATCCTTGCCTGTTATCAAGGAACCTAAAAACACAATTTAAGTGTCTCAAAGCTCTTTCTCCAACAGTTGGGGTTACTGGAGGAGCATTGACAATATTTGCGGTTCTTGCTGGAACTTATGGGATCCTTGAAGCACTTTGTATTCATTTCAGAGGTTCTGGAGTCACCTTTTCACTACCATGAGACCTCGAAGTGCTTTGGGGGAATTAGAGGAACTTGAATGCTATAAAAGGGTTATTGTCTTTTCAAATTTAAGTGGTTCCTGGAAGATCTCTTATGTTAAAGTCAGCATCTGGAGGAACCTAATGGTTCAGTGAGGCCAGAATACAATTATTATTATTGTTATACTTTAGTTTTGTAAGAAAAAAAAAATATATATTCATAAATATTTTTCATAAAATATACTTCTGATGCAGCTAGTAGTATACTTGAACTATTAGAAATATCATTTTTGATATCAATAATTGTATTGTTACTAGTAAAAATGTAAATTCCTGATATCAATAATTAAATTGTCACTAGTTGAAATGTCTATTCATCAACAATTCAATTGTTAGTTAAAATTACCATTTTTGATATCTGAAAATGTATTTCTGATATCAATATTATTTCAGATATCTAAAATGGCTTTTTTACTAGTAACAATCACATTCATGATATCAAAAATGAACATTGTTACTAGTAGCAATTTAATTGTGGATATCAAGAAAAGACTAGAATAGACTATTTCAACTAGTAACAATTTAATTCTTGATATCAAATAAAGATTTTTACTAGTAATAATTGTATTTCTGATATGTGAAATTGGAATTTCAACTAGTAAGAAATCAATTCTTGATATCAACAATTGGTTTTGAATGGCAGCCTATGGGGACATTTCACTAGAAAAATGTAATTGTTGATATCAAGAATTTAATTGTTTATCAATTATTTAATTGTTGAATTTAATTCTTGATATCAAAAATTGTAAGTGTTGATATCAAGAATGTAATTGTAAATTGTTTCTAAATTTCTCAAAAAAACATAAAATAACACTTAATTTTAACATTTATTCTCTCTTAATTCAACCATATGCAAAGTATGATGGGAACTAAAAGCACTGCCCAGTTTCAGTTAAGGCAACACAAATCAATGTAATCCAACACAAACGGATTAAGTAAACTTAAGTTGTTCGTAGATTTAAGCAGATTGAACACAATAAAATTAAGTTCGGGCAAAATGGCTATACTGCCACCCTATGGATGTACTCTTTTTTTACTTAACATAAATGGTTTGTGTTTAGACAACACATTAGGATTTTGTACTGTCAAATTGAAACACAATGACATAGAGCTTAATAGAAAAAAACAAGTAAAGTCAAAAAACACAATTATTAGCCTATAAGTAAACTATATATAAATATATTATGTAAAGTGCACAACCTCCCTAGTTATTTTTTGAGTGCATAGACATCTGAAGTACTCACCCAGAAAGCTGTCTCAGACAATGCACAAATTCACACAAAATAAAAATGTCCATCTGTATCCTAAACATGGATGGTTATGGTTTAAGAAAAATATGTGTGGATCCATGCATTTGGCCTTAAAGTGACAGCAGCCTACTATTTCTGCTACTGTCTGTATTTTTTATGTTAATCAAGCAACAAAGGAAAAAGAAAAAAAAATATTCTTTACTTTTGACTGAATAACTTTTGTATCTTTAATAAGGATTTATCTGTTTAATTCATACAGTGAAGACTATCCAGTATTTTACTTTTGAATATTTTATTTTTTTCAATGTCTCTACCTGAAAACTACGGGTAGCTGTTACTTGTCTTTAATAATGTTTTAAATTTATACAAGTTAGGCTAGTAGTTTCTAGCCTGGCTGCGCCCTCCTACGCACTTCCGCTCAATTTCATTTTACTTCTGTGGAAATGAAATGAACTAGAGTCTGGTTGAACCAGGCTAAGTAGTTTCAGCTGTTGTATCAAAATAAATATTTTTTTGGTCCCTATGAGGAAAACAGCTTTTATTAAAGCACTCTGGGACCAGATCAGAAGCAGGCTTGCAACCCTTGAATGCACTTTAACTGAGGTAAATTCTGTTGGGCTACACTCTAAAAAATGCTGGGTTGTTTTAACCCAAATTTGGTTCAAATATGGACAAACCCAAATGTTGGGTTAATAATGTCGTTTAAAATTTTAACCCAACTTCAACTTTCACTTTCAACTGTGATTTTTTTTTTATTACATTTTTAACCCAACATTTGGGTTTGTCCATATTTGACCCAAATTTGGGTTAAAACAACCCAGCATTTTTTAGAGTGTACAGACAGGAGACGGCGAGGCTTGTTCTAGAGCTGAAGGACTCGTTATGTACAACTGGAATGATCTGTTAACCGATCAGAATCCAGGACCAGAACTATCAGTTTAATAATTATTATTTTATCTCTGTTTCAGATCATAAAGATGCACTCTTTCCTGGATTACATCATGGGAGGTTGTCAGATTCAGTTCACAGTAAGTGGTTTTGGATGGCTTTTGGAAGGATTTCCCCCCACTTTTTTTATCTTACTGTCATCTTAAACTCAAACCAAACTCCACTCATATATACAGCAAAAAATGCTTTTCTTATTTAGTATTTTTGTCTTGTTTCAAATCTAAATATCAAAAAATTCTTAAATCAAGAAGCATTTATTAAAGTAGTAAAATGCCATAAGATATTAGGTCTTGTTTTCTGTTTTTGCTTTAAAAAAAAGCAAAATTATCTACCAATATGGTTAGAAAAATAATCTTGTTTCTGTTTGAATTAGGATTATTTTTCTCACCCCATTAGCAACAACTCACTTAATTTTAATGAATTCCCCTGGAAAACAAGACATAATATTTTGTTATTTTTACTCTTCTAGTAAAAGCATCTTGATTTAAGAATTTTTAGATATTTGGATTGGAAACAAGACAAAAATACTAAGTAAGAAAAGTATTTTTGCAGTGTAGTTGCTATAGGTGTAAGGATCATTTTCATGTTTGTTTCATTCAGTTCACCTGTTGTTAATTAGTTATTTCATTTAGCTTCCGCATTTGTTCTAGTATACTCCGTCTCTTTCAGTTCTTTGTCCATCTTCTCTATTTGTTTTACGTCAACATTAAGTTGATGTATTTGCCTCATTAAAGACTGTGATTCTGATTTCTCCTTCGTTGTGAGCTACTTACACTCATGTTATATGACAATTGGCTGGATCTTGTAATGTAAATCGTTGACTCCATTGTTGTCACAATTTTCCATGACTAGATGCGATATCCGATTTCAATTAATTGTTGTCAGTTTACAAAACCATTCTGAACGATTTGTTCACAAATCAGACTTGTTTGGTTCTTGAGTTCAAATGAAAGTTCTGTCAGTGAATAATTCAATTTCAGTCTATTCATTACACAAAGCTATCGTATGACTTGAAATATAGTGCACAGGTCATATATACACAATTTATTTATTGTGTTTATGCATCTATTTTTGAGGCTTTGGTTATTGTAATTGGATTGAAAAACGCAACCAGTAGAATTACAAATTATCTTTTTGGTTTTCACTGAAGAAAGAATGACCGTATTTTCATTTCTGGTGAACTATCCCTTTAAGTGTTGTTGTTCTGCAGGTGGCGATTGATTTCACCGCCTCAAATGGCGACCCTCGAAACAGCTGCTCCCTCCACTACATTCACCCTTATCAGCCCAATGAGTACCTCAAAGCGCTGATCGCTGTTGGGGAGATCTGCCAGGACTATGATAGGTAACCCGCCACTCAATCCCTCAATCAGTCAGTCAGTCAACCAACAAATCAGCTAATCAATCATGCAACCAGTCGGGCAAACAGCCAATCCTTGAATTTTACCAAATTAAATTGAACAGACTCTACTATTACTCTACTCTCTTTTGAAATGTTTACATCAGTTATTTTCTCAGTACAGGCCATTAACCAAACCTTCAAACAATTAATCAATCAATTATACATTACATCAATCAATCAAGCATTTAGTATTATGACTGCCAGTGCCTGTAGTATGCAGAGCTGTCATGTCAAGGATTGTGTTTCTACACTTCAATCACTCTCTCACCCAAGATGTCACTTAAGCTTGGAGTCAATTATATTTGACCCCTCACAATGTCACATTCTTGCTCACCTCATTGCTCATCTCTGGGGCTCAATGCACACTCATTAACCCTTTCTCTTTCTGATCTGTTTCCAGCGACAAAATGTTTCCTGCTTTTGGGTTTGGAGCCCAAATCCCACCAGACTTCAAAGTAAGTTCGTTATTTTTATGTGTAAAAAAAAGAAAAGAAAAATAAATAAATAAGATAGTTTTTTATGCTTTAAAGGGATAGGCTACTTCACCCTAAAATAAAAATTCTGTTATGTTTTCATCCCCCTTTAAGTTGTCCCAACCCTGTATTAATTTCTTTCTTCTGCTGAACACAAAACAAGGTATTTTGAAGAATATGGGTAACCAAACAGTTGATGAGCCCCTTTGACTTCCAATCCGCTATAGAAGTTAATGGGGTCCATCAACTGTTTGGTTACCAACATTCTTCAAAATGTCATCTTTTGTGTTCAGCAGAAGAGAGAAATTCAGACAGGTTTGGGACAACTTGAGGGTGAGTAAATGATGACAGAATAAAAAATAAGATCAAATTATATTTAGTTTAGTAATCCCCTGCAAGAAGTATTTGATCTGTGTCATTTTAATAACAAATTTCATTCATTTGATGGACTCAGGTGAAATTGAATAGACTGAATTTGTAGTCTGATTTTAAGACTGCAAGGAGATTCCCATACAATACAATAAATCGTTGGGGAAACCAGTGCTTTAAATCCCTTGCTGTTACCTCAGGAGATTTCTGAATAATTCATGAACTGCTGATGCCCTTTTACAATAATCATTCCTGCTAATCTATGCCAATCACTCAAAATCAGGTCATCTGATTGGTTGCCATGTTACAATCAGAGGTCATGGCCGCAGGTTGGATGTGACTCTAAGAATGCATTTTTTTTCCCGCAGTTTCAGCCACAGGGAAGCTCCATGTTTTATGCATGATCTTATCCCATTTGTTGGTTGTAATGACTCTGAATATGAATTAACCTTGAAAACTTATGAATAAAGAAATTAAATGTTGTAGTTCTTCCAGTACATCATATGGACTCTACTATCATAATCTAATATGGGTCCGATTGAGTCTTTTTTCTCCATGCCTTTTGAACGAAGCCTTTTGTTTCTGAAAGCAGTAACTCTGCCATCACTGTTACTGATCATTGAGGTTTTGTCAATAGGTTTACTTTTTCTACTCTCTTAAGGTTTCTCATGATTTTGCTGTGAATTTTGATGAAGATAACCCAGAATGTGCCGGTGAGTAATTAAGTGTAAACAACATAATTTCATGCCTATACAAACATGTTTTTATTTTTCAAAAACAAAGTTCAGTGAACTCCAATGCTTTCTTAATGTATGAGTCAAAATCTCCCACACACACTCAATGGCAAAGAGAATATGTCAGGTTTTTTATGGATAAACCATTAACTCTTTTACTGCATACTCTAGCATTTACAGTTTTTCTAATTCACTTTGGCACATTTTTTGAAAATGTATTAACATGCTCAAAACCGCTAGTTCTCTTATGAGAGGTTCTCTCGTACTGCGTAATACGCTAGGAGAAAACCTTTTTTCCACAAGAAATTGAACCCAAAAATGATCCTTGAGTGGGCGGCGCCCAACTGGTTGGATGTTTTCTGCAAAGGGGCAATCCTCCACCATCTTCCAGGCCATTTTCTTCCTGAACCTTATGAAGAAGTTGCAAAGTCTTGGAACGCCCCCTTCTCAGTCAGAGTGTGTTCCTCTGACCCACTAGCATTCTCTGTGGTGGATGGTGCTAAAGACAGAGGATACCAATCTCTTCCTCCAGTAGAAGAAGCAGTAGCTGCCCATCTTTGCCCGCTCTCTGCTGGACGGCGAGCTAAGGCGGCGTTACCTTCTTAAGCTTGCAGCACTACTTCCACTATGCACAGCTGCGCTTATACTGCCGCTGGGCAGGCTGTATCGGCAGTACACTCGATGGCCGTACTGCAGATCTCCCAAGCCGAGCTTCTCCGAAAACTGGATGAGGAAGGACCGAAAGCTATTAGCGTGCCAGATTTGAGGAGCGCTATGGACCTGGCTCTTCGTACCGCAAAATCTGCTGCACAGGCCATTGGGCGGAACATGGCTTCTCTCATCGTTGCTGAGAGACACCTATGGCTGACGTTATCTGAGATGCCGGACTCGGAGCACTGGAATCCGCTCGAGTCTTCCTCAACGCGCCCATCTCCCCAGCTGGCCTCTTTGGATCATCCGTCAAAAATTTTGCAGATAGATTCGCTGAGGTTCAGAAGATGTCACGGGCTATGAAGCACTTCTCACCAAAGCGCTCTAGCTTCACAGCAGATCGCCCAAAACAGCGGTCTGCTCGAAGCTCCCAGCCACAGCCTCTGCCCGCCGCCGCTTCACAGCGCCGTCAAGCCCGGGACCAGAGATCACACTCTCGCTCTGCCGGCCGCTGCCCCCCTCCGTGTGGGCCCCGGCAAAAGAGATAAAGTCTGAGGCCTCAAAGTCTTCCTAGCCCTTCTAGGTAAACAACAGTGTTTAATTCTCACCACGGCCAGACTTCCACCGAAAATTTTCGCTCATTCATTTCCAGAAAATGCAACTGTTACAGTGTATTTTGCCGTAAACAAGCCCACTTGTACCACATAAACAGTGTAATTTCTAGTATTCCGGCCATGGCTGATGGTGTAAAGAGTGTAATAAAAATGCCCAAGACCCAGTGTTTATTCGTACACACAAGCACAGGCCACCACAGTACAGGGCTCGCACAAATAAAATGGCAAGCATAGGCAAGAAGCCATTCTCAGCTCTGGTCTCAGACCCGCCTGTCAGACTGGGTGGCGAAGGCGAGAGATGGGTTGTGGGGCTGGTGATTGCATATCTGTACATATATCTAAGAGTTTGTGTGTGTGTAGGTCTGGAGAGTCGCTATGCCTGGCATCACAATCTAGGTGCCTCAGTCTGCAGGATTGTCATAGCGATACACAGCAAGTTGCCATGGAGAAAACCTTGATCAGGTTCCAGACAGAGTCAACAATCACCAGGAGTCTGGGGCGTCGGGGAAGGAACGCAAGAGCGGCTCACTGCAGTGCTCTTCCGGGGGAGTTGTTGTTCCAACAGCGGCCTTTGCCAAGGCCAGTGCTGGTTGAGGGTGGCTGGAAACAGATAGATTTGAGATTGTTTGGTCTTGGGGTGAGTAGCCGTATTCAATTTACGGCTATTCTCATGGTCCATTTTGGTCTCCAAAACGATCCATTTGCCTTTGCAAAGCTGTGAGCTTCTCCATGATGTTATCCATATTCTGGTTCATAGACACAGTCTCAGTGCTGACAGCTCTGCCCACCGCTTCAATCATGACGGGCAGCCTTGTGAGGCTTTGGACAGCTGTCACCTTCTTTTTAATTCCTCGATAAACCAGGGCAATGCCTAATCCAATCAGCTGAAGACCTGTTATCATGGTTCCGAATAGGTAGATATCTTCAACATCCTCTACGGAAAGAGCCGCCAGACACACGACCCGCCACTGTTCCAGGTGTCCATCGTGTAGCCAGCTTCGAACTTTCCGGCAGGGCAGTCAGGTTTCCCCGAAAGCAAGTGCAAGCACAGTGTTTACGTTACAGCACGCCAAAGCTCTCTGGTCGTCACTATGTTGTGACCAGAACCCAGATCTCATTCTACCCCTAGCTATTCATGCAAATGCGTGGACAAATCTTCCCGGAGTACCAGCTGAACATTATAAAAAGAGGCTATTCACTGCAGTTCCCTTGACGTCTCTGCTGCTACACGGCACGGGTCGAAACTACGGTAAAAACCAAAGTAGCTCATCTACTTCGAGCCAAAAAATGAAACTATTGAACAAAGGGGCCATAGAGCCTTTATTTCAAGCTCAGAGCTAAGGGGGTCTATACAGCAGATATTTTCTGGTACCGAAAAAAGATGGGGTCTCGGACCCATTCTAGATCTAAGACACCTGAACAAAGTGCTTGTGAAATTCCAATTCAGAATGCTCAAAACCAGGAAAATCATTGCGTAGATTTGCCAAGAGGACTGGTTTATGTCAATAGAACTGAAGGACGCATATTTCCAAATACAAATAGCATCAAGTCACAGGCGATTTTTGAGATTCGCCTTCGAGGACCAGGCATATCAATACAAAGTCCTACCGTTCGGCCTGTCCCTAGCACTCCGTACATTTACAATGTGGCTCTCGTAGAACATAGAACACAGGACCATATAACTCAAACATCTCGAGAATCTAGGTCTCAAAGTCAGTTGGACGAAAAGTTTGCTCTCAGACTGAACATTTAGCACATCACGAAATCCTTCCTCTGCAGCACTACAGTCCCGCTCAAAAGGTTCAGAAAATGCTGGGTCTCATGGCCTCAGCATCATCAGCACTCCAGTTGGGTCTGCTTCGCATGCGCCCGCTGCAGTTATGGCTAAAAGCGCGAGTGCCACCTCGGGCATGAGCCTCCGGTCTGTTCCGCCTCAAGGTCGATCAGAAATGTGTCACAGTTCTGAAACCTTGGAGAACAGTCGACTGGTACCATTCAGGTGTAAACCTGGGGACTTCCTCGAGTGTGAAGGTGGTGTCTGGATTTCTCCAGACAGACTGTCCAGAAACAATATTCCAACAGGAGAATGGTCGCTGCACCCGCAGACGGTCGTCCTGCTGTGGGAGTCAGCGCAGGTAGACCTGTTTGCATCCCAAGAAAACGCTCACTGTTCGTTTTTCTCCAAGAGCAGGGATGCGCTGGCCCACATCTGGCCCCGCTGCCCACTCTATGCTTTTTCTCCCGTCTCACTCCTACCTCAGGTAACGAATCAGGGGAAAAGGATGCTCAGTGCTACTTGTGGCTCCGCTCTGGAAAAACCAGGCTTGGTTCCTAGTTCTGATGCAGCTGACAAGTACTGCCCCATGGCCAATACTGATGAGGAAAGACCTCTCTCAGGCCAAGGGCTCGATTTGGCAACCTCACCCAGAGCTGTGGTCCCACGTATGGGCCATCAACGGATACCCACAAACCTCCTGGAGGGAGTTTTAAACACGATTATGCAGACTAGAGTGCCATCTTCTAGACAAATCTATTCCTCAAAATAGTGTGTGTTTTCTGGCTGGTGCAAAGCTTGAGGCTTTCCACCCCTAGACTGTGGGGTTATGAAAGTTCTCTCCTTCCTTCAAAAACAATTGGATAAGGGCAGAACCCCATCTACGCTCAAAGTTTATGTGGCAGCCATAGCAGAGTTTACAAAACCCACGACTGGCCAGTCACTGAGGAAGAAAGATTTGGTCATCATGTACCTTAGGGAGCTAAGATGCTGAATCCTCCCAGACCCCCCTCAGTCCCCATGTGGGACCTTTCCACGGTTTTGGAAGGTGCCCCGTTCGAGCCAATCCATTTGTCAGACATGAAACATCTGACATTCAAGACAGTTTTTCTTTTGGCTCTTGCTTCAGTGAAGCATATAGGGGATTTACAAGCGCTCCCAGAAAGCACGACATGTATGGAATTTTGGCCAAATTACTCGAAAGTCTAACTCAAACCAAGACACGGATACGTGCCTAAATCCCTCAACACACTTTTCGGGGGCTCAGATTATTTCCCTTTCAGACAGACTGAGCAGCTCTTCGTTTCATTCAGCGCACTTGCTAAGGGACTAGCCACATTGAAACAGAGCCTATCCAGATGGATAGTTGATGCCATAGCAATGGCATACACGTCTAAAGGCTTGAAGTGTCCTTTAGGTGTTAGAGGGCACCCCACAAGAGGCATGGCCTCGTCATGGGCTTGGTGTAGCGGGATTACCTTGCAGGATATCTGTATGGTGGCAGGCTGGGCCTCCCCGTCTACATTTATAAGGTTTTATAACCTATAGGTTCCCGCCTTACAGGCTAAACTACTTTCAGTCTAAAAATCAGTATTGTCTGCCCCGTTGCTTCGGCTCAGAATACTATAACCACTTGAGCACCGCTCGCTGATCGTTAAAATAACTCCATGGGCAAAAGTAAGACCCATACCGTTACCCAGTTCAGGCCAAACATTTTCACCCTGACTGTGTATAACACTGTTGATGTGATTAGCTCCCTTAGGGTGCTAACTTATTGCGAATGACGCTTCTTGCCTCTCTTCTCAGACTCTTTGTGAGTCCCTGGTGATTATGCACTATATGAGCCCCGGGCACCAGCCCTTGGGAATACAACCTCAACTAGCTCCTCAAAAAGCATTTGACACATTCCAGTCGGGCGTTAGGACCTGTCACAGCACAGA